CGGCAAAGGTGATTCGTAGTGGGGAATACTTCTACAATCAAGGACTTATGGAAGTAGACATTGTAGCGAGGCTTAATAGTGTGCCTCCTTTAGAGAACCTTGTTGTGCGTCTTGGTAAAGTGTTTGTTTGGAAGGGTCATCTTGTTCTGGTGTTTGAGATGCTAAGTATGAATCTTTTTCAGCTGATTCAACGTACAAATTACAACGGTGTGAGTCTTGATCTCACCAGAAAGTTTGCCTATCAGTTGATATTGGTGCTAAAACAGTTAGAGGAGCATAATCCGCCCATTATTCATTGTGATGTAAAGCCGGAGAATGTGGTGCTGCGGGATCCAAGTCGAAGCTCCATTCGTTTGATTGACTTTGGCAGTGCCTGTTACCTGCACCAAGGGGCCAAGTTGTATAAATATGTTCAATCGAGGTTTTACCGTAGTGTGGAGGTAATCCTGGAACTTGGCTACGACACCGCCATTGACCGCTGGTCGCTTGGTTGCATGCTTGTGGAGTTGCACACGGGTGTCCCGCTCTTTGCTGGAAAGAACGAGGCCGAACAAGTTGCCCGCTTCATTGGTGTGCTTGGACCCTTGCCTGACGAGATGATTGAGAGAAGCCCAAAGAAGGATTTCTTCTTTGTGGACTCCCGACAGGCACAGCAGGAGGCCTTTTTGCAACACTCCACAGGCATGGGAGGAGGAGGCCCTGTCATGGCGGATCAAACGCAGCGACGGGAGCATGCCGCGTCCCCGTCTCCAGTCATCGCAGCAGAGGTACTGCATAGTTTATCGGCAACATCGTCCATCTCTGTGGTCACCGCCGCATCTACGGCACCGGCATGTTCTTACGTCGGTCACTCGGATGTCGCAGCCAGAGCAGTGGCAACTCCACCACATTCTCAGCAGCAACAGCAATTGACAGCAGAGGCTATAGGAGAAGCAACGGATGGACGGCAAGCATATCGAAACTCTTTCTCCACACCTGGTAACAATGTATGTGCCAACAACAACAACAACAACAACAACAACAACAACAACAATAACAACAACACGGTAGCTGTACCTGCGCTGCGCCGACCAAAAACGGCTCTCTCGACGGCATTACCTGCGAAGAAGGATGTTATAGGACACACGACGATAGGTGGTGGTGGTGGTGGTGGTGGTACTAGCGGTGGGGGAGGAGGAGGAGGAGTGGGATCGTTTGCTCCTGCAGTAACGAGAAGAGGCAAGCACGCCACATCCGGGAATTCATCGCAACAGAAGACTCATCTTGGTGCCAATGCAACAGCTGCCATCCCGATGACGACATTTCCGACTCGATCGTCCGCGGCAGTGCGAGCGTCAACCTTCACGCCAAGGCCCCGACTGACCTCAGCGAGTCAACCTATTGCGCACAACGAGGGGTCATTGCCCTCCTCTGCACGGGGGACTCGTGCGGGTGTGCAACAGGCGGCAGCGGCAGCGGAGCCACCACAACAATCGGGCGCCACTACACCGCCCAAGAGCCCGTTTGTCATCCGCTATCCGCCTGCACCCGAGCATTATCAGAGCCTTGAGGAAACCATTGGAGTTTACTCGGGTGGACCGCGAGGGTGCCGTCAGGGGCAGGCGGGACATGGTGTAGAGGACTACAAGGTGTTTTTGGATTTCGTCCAGCGTTTGCTTTGCTACGATCCACGAAAACGCATGAGTTGCACCGAAGCATTGCAGCATCCTTTTCTATCAGAGTTAGAGGTGCAGAAGCAGTGGAAGACTTGAGTTGGAGGAAGGAAGGGCACCGTCGTGAGGTCATGTGCGCGCGTTTTGTTGCTATTTCTCTTGCTGTTGTGGAGCTTGTAACCTTTTTTCTTTTTTTTTTTTTCTGCTTGTTTCTTTTGTGCGTGCGTGTCTGCCCCCTTTCTTTTTTTTTTTTTTTTTTTTTTGTTTGTTTGGTTGGTTGGTTGGTTCAGTGCTGTTTTATTGCCTTTTTTCACGCCTTGGCTCTTAATTGACGTTTGAACGATCGTAGATCATCCCGAGTGAGTTTGGTGGGGATGGGCAGCAAGGCGTAAAAAGGGAGAAGGAAAGAGAAAGAGAGAAAATATAAATAAATATAGATGTGTGTAAACAGTGAGAGCGTTACATGTGCATCACAAGCCTGCAGCAGCAAAGTTGTTGGCAGTCCGTTTTATTTTGCCCTTTTTCTTTTCCCCCCCCCCCCTTCTTTTTATTTCTATATATATATATATATGTAGGCTGTGGTGGTTGAGATTTGCTTTTTTTTTTTTTTTTCTTCTTGTCGCTTCTTCCCACAGCCAGTGGGGCGAGAAGGAATGCAGAAGCGCCACGGAGAGGGAAAAGAGAAACGAAAAGAAAGCGGAAAGTTTTGTTTTGTTTTTGTTTTTGTTGATTATTTTTTTTTTTTCTTTTTTTGCTGATTCCCTTCTTGCTGCGTTGGTGGTGTGCAGAAGCGTGCACGTCACAAATAGTGCACCGACAATTCACAATAAATTACAATGTGCCATGCACACCCCCAACGTTGTCCCTGCTACCAGTTAAATTACAAATTATTTTGTCATGCCTTACATTTATTTTCCCGTATATATGATTATGTGTGTGTTGCTATTGTTTGTCTTTTTCACTCATTCACGGTACCGCGACGCATGCGCGGTTTTACCATGATGGCTGTTTTGCTGCTGCTGCTGCTGTTGCTGCTGTTGCTGTGTTCCCATGCACACACACACACACATTACACATTACGCAATTTCATGTAATGACCCTCTTTTTGTTCCACTCTTTGTTTTTTTGTTTTTTTTTGTTTTTTGTTTTTCCTTTTGTGTAATGTTGATTGCTTTTTATTTGTGTATTTCTTCACCGGGGGAGGTGTCAAGATCACAGGTGAGCGTATTTCATGTCCATCGCCCGGTCCCCGGTTGCGGAGAACGGCTCCGAGGTAAACCCATTTGAATTCCTGGCATGCGACAACAATGAGCAGCAGTTGTGGGAGGAGGTGTACCTGCGGCAGTTCCCTGATGCCCAGGAGTTTGAGGCCTTGACGTTGGAGGAGCAACGGGAGATTGTGGCGGAGTTGCAGGAAGAAGTGGATCTGCTGGAAGAGGAGACAACAGTGTTTCTGCGCCACGCAGAGTCTTTGCGAATGCCACGCGTCCCCAACGCCCTTCTCGGTTCGCCCACGAACAGAAGAAAATCCCTCTCGACACTTCTTCTCTCCGAACCTCTCCCGCAGGCGCCGGAGGATAGCACTGTGAATGAGAATTTGGTCGCGGCGAGCGGGGAACTCGGCGGGGAGGCCATCGTCCTCTCATCTTCCAGCGTCCGCCGGGGTCAGGCGTACAGTCGCAAGTCGGTAGACACCAATGAAATGTACGTCACACTAGAGGACCGCGTGGCGATGCTTACAAAGGAGAGGGAGAGGCTTCGGCAGCAGCGGGAAAAGGACGAAAAGGAGGGGGAACATCTACACGAATTGCTCACAGCGACTGTGAAGGAAGCCGTTGGACGCTCGAAGGAACTTCGGCTGGAGTTGCTGCAGTTTAAACGGGAGGTGCTGAACGAGGGAAGCAGCACCGCCTCATCAGACGACTTGCTGCGATTTATGGCAAAGCGCTACAGCATGCAGGCAAAGTACCTGGACAAGTTGAATGTTCAGTGTGCGGCGGCGGAGCGAAATATCACGCAGACCCAACAGCAACTGCGACAACGCCATGCGGCTGGGGAGGCCTTTCGCGCCATTGACTTTGAACAGCTCCGCATTGAGAACCAGCAGTTTAATGAACGCATCGAGCGGAAGAATTTAGAACTTGTGGAATTGAAGGGAACGTCCACTCGCACCGTGCAGACGCTCAACACACTC